AAGTTCTCTGTATTTTAAAAGTAATTAGAAAAGGTAATGTTAAAGTTCTTGCTTTTTCCAAAATTTTTGCGCTTATTGAACTATTTACAGAAATCCCTTAGCAGCATGGCTGTCCATCCTCTATAAAATAATAATTATCTTACTTGGAGTAACACTTAAGTTGTAAGTGCACTTTGAAGTACATATTCTCAAGTTTAGGATGAGAGAAAGAGAGAGAATGTTGAATGAGACTGTTTTATGCCACAACGATCTGTGTGCTTGCCTACCTTATATGTTTTCATTTCTGAACAACTCTGAAAAACAGCCCTTTGTCAGGAGAAGGCCAAGGATAAGGGAAGTTGAAAGTATTGAACACTACAAATCATACAGCTTCTAGAGTTCGGAATCAAGGTTTGTTCGGTCAGACTTTATAGCTCTCAAGTCCATTCCATAGATATATTAATGACTATAGAAACAATTTCTATAAGTTCTTGAATTTAGTAACTGAGTTGTGTTAACAGTTGTGTATGTCATTTCATCTGTAGGCAGTTATTTGGCAGAAAACTAGCGTATCTGACCACAAGACGGCTCTCATGTCAGTTCTGGGGACTGCTATTATGGGCAACTTGGAGTCTTTTCAGGTACCACTCTGAAGAATCTCAGGTATGCACAAAAATGTTCTTTCATAATTTTGACTTGGTAATGATGTGGTTAAAATATTTCTCTTTTGGGGAGTTAGAATAAGAGGTTTTTCTTGTGACTTTTTTAATCAAAATATGTATATAAAGTAGGTAGGAAAGAAAATACATATAAAACTAACCTCCTTCCCCAGCCCTGCTTTTATCTTTCTTTTTGCTTAAATTGATTTTTAAAAAATAATTTTCAGTTTAGAGTCTTACTTCCTTTAGACTGTAAAATTGTTGAGCTTGCTTATCTTTTCTTTCCCTTTCCCATTATATGTACACACTCAAACTTTCTTTGCTCAGTCTATCAGCTTTAGTGCTTTCTGACTCCCTATAATACTAGATGATACTTCCCCTCACTTACTTGCTCTTTCTT